ACAGATATAAATGCATACAGATTTTATTAGAACGATCTTTCACGCTAATAAAACATCCGTGCCTCTCCTGTATCATACTTTCTTTCAAAGGCAATATACGTTTTGCAGACAATTTTTAAAGCCTGTACAAAATCCTAGTGTAATGCTTTCTTAAAAGGTCTTTTATTATACTAAAATTGTTCCTTAAAATGCATGAAAGGGCTCTTTGGCTTTTTGGGTTCTTTTTTTTTTTTTTTTTTTTGCTATGTGTTGGAAATCTAAAAAAAAATCGTATTTCAGATTTCACGCTGGATTTTTAGTGATGATTCTTGCCAAGGTTAATATCAGTTGACTCTCAGGAAGAAATGAATAGGGAGAATATGCAAATACATGAAAGATGTCTAAGGCCACCGATTGATTGGAAAAATACAGCTGGAACTGACCGAAAGAAGTAAATTCTCATCTTCAATCATGTAATTTGCATCTGTTTTCACTTTTCATTTACAGTGTAAACTATGTACATTATAACAATGAGAGCTAGTAAAGTAAACTCTAATTCTTTTGAGGTGCCTGAATAAAAGACATTGTATGCAACCTACTGTGACAGTGAAATATTTTCACCCAGTGCAGTTCATACTAACATTCTTTTGAGCGAGGGGACTGAAAGAGAAGAAATGAGAGGTTAGAAAATAGGAAAAAAACACAACACAAAAAAACCCCAACCCTTCGAACTGCAGCACTTTTGTTTTAAGTGCTGCCAAATGCAGGTTGAATCTGTCTGCCAGAATATGGGAACAGCTTCTTTCAAAAACAAAGTTATAGTCTTGGTGAATGGGGTGAAGCTAGCATAGACCAAGCCCTGGCTCCTTTGAAAGACTGAAATGAGCCGTGCAACAGAAGAGCTTTCAGTCTGCACTGTAGACACTGACACCTTCTAGTACTTGAGATGTAGCCAACAGGAAGAAAAGAGTTTTAACTCCCTTTCCTGTCCATCAACTGTACTGTGTACAGAATGCAGGAAGAAAGGATGTGAGATAGGGATGCGCAAGTCAAAGAAGGACAAAATGTACAAGGCAAACTGCTTCTCCATGAGTCATGACAGTCCAGTCATCAGCAAGGACAGGTTCTTTATGCTGTCCCTCATGGCATTTCAACCTTGTATGATAACTAGAGAGAGCATTTTGTTAGGTCCTTGGCCTTCCTGTTGAGTGTGACCTCAGTAAGAGGTTTCTAAATACAATGGCAATGCATTGCCATTGACTGAATATGTCAGATCAGGTCTGAGAGCCAGCACACGGCCATCCCGTTGCTGCAGTCTTGCTTAAGGCCTACTTCACAGGCTCTCATCAACAGTGAGGGCAAGAAACTCTTCTTGCGTATAGAGACACAATTCAATGTTGGAATAACTTATACGAAGAGAAGGGAGGGAAAAGCTTTGTTAGTCGTGACCCTGGTATCTGTAAAACCACTTCCGTTTTGGAGTTCTGTGAGTAAATAAATAATATCAATCTCCTGACTAAAATGGCTATACTAGTCACAAAGGTGTGTATTGAGAAGGTGGTAAGTATGGCAGAGGATCATGTTCTTGTTCCTTGTGGATGTGTAAATTTAATCAAACTGCCCATGTGATTATTTGAGTAGTTTCAAGAATACCTTAGAAGCTATGGAAGGATAGCTGAATTTTTCTCCTAAACTGTGTGGTGTGGGGGTTTTTTGCGTGTGTGCGAGCAATAGACATTAAATAATAGTACGTCAACTACTTTTCTGGAAGGTTCATGACAAGCCAGAAAAATTAGCACTAAAATTAAAAATTGCCACAGGTGTGTGTTAGTATCAACTGTAACCAGCTAGTTAATGCCTGTATTTTTGACCAGGGAGCCATTTCTATCCAGAATATTTATTGGAGTATTAGCAGAGGCTGTGATATTACAGAAATTTAAGATTAAATTTAACAGCTAGATTTTAAGCTGCTCCTTTCTAAGATGTTTTGTTAAACCCTTCAATCCCCGTTATGCGCTAAGTTCTTATTCATGAACTTAATGATTCCAATGAAAACAATGGAAGAAAACCGTACAAATTTTGTATTCTGTAGTGTAAGACAGATTCTGTTATTCTCTTTGCTTGTATTTACGTAGTTAAGATTACGTAGTAAGGATTTTTAACTTCAGGATAAATTTCAGGTATAGCATTTCATTAATTTTCTTCTTTAATAACATAATCATTCTGATTGAACAGGAGGTGAACAAAGGAAGCTGGAACTAAGTTAAGTTTAATTTTTCTCATGGTAGCTCACAGTTCACTTTTTTATTAAATAGGCACATGCTAGTTATTGCTGTGAAGTCATTGCAACTGAAGTACAAAATCTCCCCAACCTGTGTCAGAAAGATTGATCTTTATTTTTGTTAAACTCTTTGTTTGAAAACTTCTACCCCTACCCAGACCTCACAACAACTACCTTTCCCCTTCCTCCCTGCCATGGGGCATATAAAATCCCAGTGCTCTTTTTCTCTTTTTTCTCTTTCTCTATTGGTATGGGGTTGGGTGTTTTGTTTTGTTTTTTTTTTTTTTGATGCAGATCATCAGGCTTTCTGTTCTGTTTGGGGACTTAAATCTACCTGTCAGCAAACGTCCTAGCTGCAGAGCAGCTCCTCCCCAGCCTTTGCTGCTCTCTGTTTGGCAGGGATAGAAAATTGAGAGGCCTTTCAGTGAGCTGCTGCCAGCACTGCGCTGTGTAGCAGAGCCTGCAGCGGGGCTTGCCGCTCCCCCCTCCCTCACTCAGGAGGGCACCAGGGGAGCTGGGTGGGAGAGAGATCCTGGAAGCAACCTGTCCAGGGGGCTTAGCATAGGCTGCCTGCAGTTATCCACACAGTACGTACAGAGCTTTGTGCTATTAGTGATGGGCAAGTACTTTAAATGAACGTTGTTTCATCTGCAAGTTCTTCAATAACTGACTGTAACGTCTTGTCTTCTGAGTGTTGGATTGGTTGATCTGGCTTGCATGCAAGATTCCCTGTACTACTTCTGGTCTGTGGTGGGAGCAGTGTGACTTTTCAGATCAGTTTCCAGGGAATCACACTAATAAATTCAGAATTTGATTCTGTAAATAATCTCTGTCTGCTTGCAATTTGCTGTTGCCACAAAAATTTCTGGCAGTGAACATGTTTGCTTGGATTCTCGCAATTGTTTTGGTAGGTATATTCTTTTCCTTGACAGGCCCTTCTTGGCAAATATTTCAAATTCTTGTTTTTCTCTTTTTACATTTTAGTTTTTCTCATGTTTTTTAGCTGCAGCTCTTCATTATTTCTAAGGTGGCTCTACTTGTTAGTACATGATGCAGAATTTCTGGATACAGAGGAGTTTCTGGCTATCTGTAACAATGGAAGGAGTAAGTAGTAAAACTTAAAGGGGGAATAAGCAAAAGTCAGGCCAGTTATAACTAAGTGGGAAACCAAATTTCACTTCCTACAAAAATTTGAAGTTCTCAGAGTTCTTTTATTGTGTAGGTCTACAGTCATGGCTACAATCCAAATACTTAATTTTTTCCCAATAGTGAACTTCTTACAATAACTAATTTTGGTAACATTCAAATATTCACGAGGCATGAATATCTTACTACTTTCTGAAATTAAATATGTTCTCTTCAGTCTTTGGAGCCCAAAGTCTTTAATCAAAGCCCAAAGGAGCTTCAGTCTTTGGAATCCAATCAACTAGACAATCACCTGCAAGGAACTAGATACCTTCAGACGCTTCAGAAGTTCGGTATACATCTGAGGAGCCAGCTGGGTAAATCAGGACCATGGTCGCTAGACAAACCTACTGGCCTTCCTGCTATATGATCTCTGTAGAGCGTCAATGGAAAATTATTTCATCAAAAAAGCAATAACCTTCTCTAGCCAACAGCCTAGTATGGAAGAAGTTGAGATTAAGAGGCGGACAAGTAAGAAAGAGGGTTAATATGCTGGAAGGAGTAGACCTAAGGAAAGGGACCAGGTAAACATAGGCTGATACAGGAACCTGAAGGTATGAAACCAAGAGACACAAAATGGAAGGTCGAGAGAAAGGGTAGCTGAAACACCTAAGAGTCAGAAGACAGCCATAGATTGTCAGTGGTGTGCATGGAAGCAGAATTGTGCGATATCTTTTTCTGTAGATCAACATCTTGTATATCCATGCATTTTAGGTAGAGAATGCTTTGCTGCTTGAGTAGGTGTCTGGGGCTGAAAACAAGATCTAACTTATACTTCTAAGCTATAGAAGATATACCTCTAAGCTAAAAAAACGATAAAATAATTTGAATTTTGCTGAGATGTTAGCATGGTCTGATTCAGTTTTCTTAAGTTCTAATGTTGCTTACCTCAAGTGTATATGGCTTGTGTGAGGATAAAGAAGGAGCTGAAATGGGAATGCAGGGAAAAGATGAACAGGGATGGAGAGCTTATCAAAATTTGTTTAAAATATATTGTTTCAATTTTTTCATTAAGAAAGTAAAGAACTTGGGAACTTGTTTTCAGAAACAAGATATTAACACAGAAGAAAAGAGTAAATGAATATATTAACCAGTTCTAGCTGTCTTTTTTTAACATATAAAATAGTGGTTAATGCATGTGATAGAGTTTAGAATGTAGTAATTGTGAGGCTTTTATTAAAAAATGTACTTAAATTTGTTTAACTTTGATAAAAATAAAAGGGAATGGAAGTACAGTGGCTTCTATAGAAGTTTGGGAGTCTTTTCTCAGCTTGTCCGATAGTTTTGCTGTGTAGCTTTGAATAAATCAATCAAATGGTTAGTGCCTCAGTTTCCCCATCTTGATAGAGACATAATAAACCTAATCCCTCAGAGTACCAGGTGATCTTAATTAGTTTTTATAACTCGTATTTCTTAGGCAGAAATACAAACTTATTTTAATATAAATTTTTAGATCTCCTTCAAAAACTTCATTCCCAAATCTGTTATTCTTATGGGTTTGAAATATGAACACTTATCCTGGCTTTGTTTCTTCTCTAAGCGTGCAGATCACTAAAAACAGCGATCTCTTTAGTCTGTTTGCTGAACCACATTGACTTGTTTCCACTTGCTCCTCTAGCTGGCTGGTGTTAGGACCCTGAAAAGAGACAGCAGCAACGTGATATAAATAGAGTACCAGAATGGGACAAAGTTTGAGAAGAAAGCATGACATCACTCAGACTTGCTCTCCACCCAAAAATGATCTGAGATGGAGGTGCAAAAGTGAACTGGACAAGCGAGGAGTTAACAAGTCATTTTAGTCCAGTTCCCGAGGAAACAGTTATACGCCCTACACGCTATAAGGAAGTACACTTTCTTGCTAGCAAAACCAAAACTGGCTTCAGATTTCTGACAACGTGAAAGTAATTGAAAGGAAAAGACAACTATAGAAAGAAAGTTGAAAACGGATCTTTTTGTTTGGCATAGATTATAACAGAAATATTTGACTTCTTTCCATGGAAGAATACAATTTTTGGATCTGATGCACGTTTCTTATAATCTTGCTCCAATCATGGTAATTTATTTACGGATAAATGAAGAGATCAAAGTGTGAAGCAAGTAGTTATTCCTTAAAGGATCTGGAAGAATATTTTGCCATTGCTGAAGGAACAGAATTCTTGAACCTGCATGGAAAATGTCCCTTTTAATACAAAAAGGAGCAAAGGAAAATTTATGACTGAAACATTACAGGAATTTGATCTCTATTGGTCTTTTAACCTTAAAAAGACCATGAAGAATTTATTATCTCTGCTCTGTTGTCATTATTCTTTGCTGGTTTTATTTCAGTCCAAATACCAGGTAATATTCTGAATATGGCTAATGTTGAGACTTTATTTGGATTCCTTTTAGCAAGTTTTGCTTCACACTGTCTCATTATGTAATGTTTTATGTGCAGGTGTACGGAAACTATTCCCAGCTCCCCAAACACCCAGGTAAGAAATGCTCTATTTATATTTTATGACAATGTGCTTAAATATTTGCTTTTTTGGTTTGTATTTTTCATTTTCTTAGTAGCTCCAAACAGTGATCATACTTCAGACTTTATCACATTTTTAAAATGGGACTGACATATGAATATATTGGACTTCTTCAATCAGTTTAAATTCAGTACTCTCTCTCCTAAATATTCTACATAAAATGTATATAGAAAAAACTACTTGTATTTGCATAGAAAACTTGCATACAACAATTGCTTATTGTTACTTTTTAAGAACGAGTTTCTCTCTGAATCAGACTTCTACGCAGATGACTTTTTGCCACAATTTTATAGTGGTCAGCATTCTAAATTCATTGATTTGCGATTAAATATTACAGTTTGTATACTTTCCAGTACCTTGGCATGGCTTCAGGCCATCTACCCTCCTCCCAGCCTTCGTGCTTAAATTTAAATCAGTCATACAGCGTGTTTGGGATCTCATCTGTTTTCAATGCAGGAAAAATGCACTTAAAGCTTAACTGAGGTCTGGGTATAACTGCAGAATTCTTCTGTTTGTATAAATAGTTTAACCTCAAGCCTCATGGTGGTGTGCAAGCACAATTTTACTGTTTTACTAATTTATGTATTGCTTTGTGTTTTTAAGTTTTAAGCATATGTAATTACTTTTATAATAAAACAGTGTGCTGTGGAAAAGCCATGTTGTTGGCTGTTGCAGTGTCTTCAGCCAAGTTAGCTGCTTTTATTCTACCTTCACCTGAAAACAATAAAATACAATCTCAGTTCCTGTACACCAGGATCACTGCCTTTTAGTTGGTGGTGCAATAAAAAAGGCCTTGCTCAATAAGGAGGCAAGTTATACAACACTTAGTTTGTGATATATTGTGTGTGTGCGAGCGCAGCTGCGAGCAACGCTTTTTGGATTTGAACTGGGCAGTAAACAAGTCCCATGATTTGGTTCTAAGCAGAGTTACCTACTGAAAGAACATTGCAAGTGGAAGTTGAATTCAAGTCAATAGGTCCCTGTTCCTCTCCCGCCCCCAAGTTGTCTCAGGACTGTAACCTGTAAGCTGGCTGACGACATGGCTTGCTTTATATAGTTCAAAACTGGAAACTAAGAAAGCCAGTCTCCATGCAGCATGGCTACAAGCGATTCACTCCTTTGCTGCATCTCTATTTCCGTTCCCATTCTCTTGCTTTTTTTTTTTTTTCACCAGCTTTTTAATATATGCTGCTTAAAATATAGCTTCTTTTTAGGTGATTGCCTGATGCTAACCACAATAATGCATAAAGGCCTCTTTTGTGATGGAACTGCGACTAATAGTGTTTATGCCAGGTCGTGACAATTTTTGACATCAATTCGTTTTCTCTCTGGATTCTTTTCTGTTCTATTTTTCTCTATTTTACTGTATTTTTTCCATCACCTCTCTGTAAATTTTAATCCTTTTTTTCTAATATGAAAGTTAAATATTAATGGAAGCAAGATAGATTTGCATAAAAGAACACAGCAAAACTGCAGGCATATTCTGTGCTTTGCAAAATACAGCTGGTAGTTTGTAGAGCCAGATGGAGGTATACTAGCACAGGTTGCCTATGTGGATGTTCTTAATACAGTAGGAATTCTTCACTTTCACTTCCTCAGTAGCCAATGTATGTTCTTGGAAAAATAGAACTGAGCACATACCAGACTTAGTTTACCTAAATGAAAATAAACTTTTTCTTGTTCCTATACTCTATTTTCTCAGTATGCTTTGCCACACACAGCTTAGTGGAGTTTGGGTTGCCTTGAATTTTCAGGTTGGGCTTTGTGCGTGTGTGTGTGTTTTTCTTACCTTTACAATAGCTTTCCCCCTTGGTTAGCATTTGTACCTTTCTCTGTATTTTCCAAGTATGCAGAGCAAACGTGTAATCACAGAAACTCATCCATTTCTCTAAACGGATCCCTTTATCATCTGTTTGCTGTCGTGTTCCCTCTTTATGGGAGAACCTCTCTGACTACTGCAAACATCCCTAGTTAGGGAGGCCAATAACAGATTCTAGTCAATTTCGAATCATTTGTCAGATATCCTTGAGTATAATTCAATTTGGAAGGAAGTCTGAGTAGACTGTGTATCCTCATGAGATAAAGGGCCTCTTCTAGTTTTACAGCTATCCCACGGCTGTAAAACGTCAAGGGAGACTACTTTGTAGTTTTCTCTAACTTGCGCTCCAATTTTAGAAGGTCTTGGGAGCTTTGGCATGATGTGCATATTGTATGACAGTTTAGGTGGTTTTTAATCAACTTGTCTTTATTACGCTCATCAGGTTCTTGAAAGGTGGCTTGAGAATCCAAAATGAATGTAGGACAAAACTACTGATATGGTATAGTTTGTAACTGAGAGTTGCTTCACATCCTCTGGAGACCTCAGGAGGAAGTATTGTACTTGTTGGGTAGGGCTATTGAAGCCACACTCTACCGTTTATTTGCCTTAAGTAAGGTTAATTTGTTACTAAGAGTTTTCAGGAGCTAAAATGGGGCTTCATTAGATCAATCCAAACATGATATTAATTATCCATCAGAATAACAAAGACAAAGAAGACATAGGCAGACTTTTTGAAGTTAGTTAATCTTTTTTTCCAGTTTTATATCTTATCCAGTGCTTGAAAGCAGGTGCAGGGGGTAGAGCTGTTTCCCAAGGGTGTGACCATTTCTGTTAGTCCTTTCCATGTAATCAGGGATATGGGAAATTGTTGACATAACGAATCTATGGAAGATCTTTCATGTATGAAACAAGATGCAGATGGAGAAGGGCAAAGAACACTTGACACCTGTCAGTACTTTTTAATTTTTGGAGGGATAGAGGGAATTAAGGGAGGACTACATCACTTTCTAGCAATTGCCAAATTTGATTGATTAAAACTCTTAGTAGAGAAATATAACCCTTACAGATGCTGGCTTTTATAAATACTTGCTCTTGCTACCTTTCCCCCCCCCTCCCCCCCCCCAAAAAAAAAAGATTAACTCATGCTAGTAGGCTGATACGGCTTGATGAACAAAATATTTTCATTTGCATTCACTGTAATATTTCTGTATATCTGTGTCAACCTTCTAAAATCTTCTTTGATATAGGCAATTATTCAGTTTCTTCCTGCGTAGTGGGTTAAATTACTTTTGGGAATAAAGCATTTTTCCCACCTAACAAGATAATAAGAGATACAGTTCATATTTTCCTACATTGTTAATGCTACAACCTTAAAATAGAATTGTTATCTTAACATAAAATTTAATTGCTTTGGGCAGCCTGCTTCTGCTCGGGTTTGAAAAGCCACATCTCCCTAAAATCTCTTCTGAATCCTATCAATTAGTCTGTGTAGATAAATCTACCAATGGACAGTGGAAACTACCAGATTTTCTGCTTTTGTCAGCTTGTCCACCTGGTGCTGAGGAGGACATTAAGAAAAACATGTTCTCACTAGTCACATTGTTTTGTTTTTGATGTAGTGAAGAAGATTTTGAACAAATAGCTAATGAGATATGCAGAGTAGTGAACTCTTTTCGTATGTTGCTTAATATTTTGGAATCCTGTCTCTTGAGGAACATGGAAAACCCTTCCACTATAGGGTATAGTTCTTCTACATAACGCTGTTAAGATGAGAGAGATTAAGAAGGCTAGCCTCTCGTGCAGTGGTGACTGCCTGTTCAGACCCTTCTGAGCCTCTTGCGCAGTGATGACTGCCTGTTCAGACCCTTTTGCTCTCATCTACGTCACAGCTCTTCCACTGTTAAGTGCTCCCTGTTATGTCTGACCAGTGTGACCATAGAGAAAGGGGTTTAAAAAAAATGCTCAGATTAATATAACCTGAAGGTGTTGCACTGTTTCCCCTGTGGATTTTGAGTAGAAGATAAGTCCTGAGAACTTGCTAGCATCTTCTCCTATTGCCTTGAATTCTAGAGCCGAGTCATCTATGGAGAGATTTCCATGTGAGGAAGGAGCAGAGAAAGTAGGCTATAGAAGCTAAACAGTACAAGACACTTACAAGGGAACGCACAGAGAGGCTATCTATTGTGTTTTAGAGAGCTGTGTAGACCTTTAGCTAGCGTATCATATGTATTAGAATCTTTTAATTATTGGACCAGATCCTCAACTGCTCTTTCAATGAATGCTGCTTGATACAATGCCAGAGATCTGGTCAGAAATCACTATGTATTTCAAATGCAGTTAGAATAAAAAAAAAGATTTGAAAAAACAGATTCTCTACAGTGGGCAATCAGATACATGACTTTAACCTCCTCTGCCATTTTGATTTATGGCCTGTCTTCCTTGCTTATGTGCAGTATTTGATTTACATAAAATATCTTGTTTTACTTAACCTATTGACCTCCTTTATTGTTTTCTTCTGTGGAGACTTGTTATACTCAGTGTTGGACCTTGCTTTAATGACCTTTTCATCTGTTTTTCCTTGAAAGGGTTCAAAGTTCTGGCATCGGCTTCCCATTACTGGCCGCTGGAAGATGTAGATGGAATTCACGAGTTTCGGGATACAAATGGAGGTAGACATGGGATTTGTTGATGATGGCAATAACATAAGTATTTGTGGCAGTCTGTAAGTAGAAAGAGAAAAGGAGAAATGAAAGGGACCAGCTTTTATACAAGAGCAGTTAAGACTGCTTTTTAATATTTTAGTAATGCTTAGGTGTCCAGATGATATTGCATTTGAGTACTGATTTTTACAGTTTTTTGCAGACGCTTTGAGCTGTCTACACATCGTTAGGATTATAAAGAGAAATGGTTAAATAAATTAAAATCACATTATTATTGGTTAATTTGGTACCTGCATAACAAGCACAAATATACTCAGTGAGATCTTGGGCTATGCCAGTAGTGAAGATGCCTAATTTTTTTTGCTTTTTAAAGGGAGTTAAATGCCCAACTTCTACAGGCACTTTAGAAAGAGAAGCATAGGCTGTTATTTGAATATTTCTTGCTCATTTATATCTGCTTTTGGCAAACTTTCTGAAATCTTTTTTGTTGCAACATTGTTTTTAAGGAATCATTCAAACTGGTCAAAATCATGAGAGACTTGGTAAGGTAAAACAGTCAATGATTTGAAAGGAAGTTAGTAGTCAGGATTGCAGGGAGTGACATTATCATTATTGCTATTTATTACATAAAAATCAATCGCACTTCATAAGTGGGGAAAGGATCTAAAAATATCTAAAATCTCTTATTCCAGAGGTGCTCAAGTATTTTAAACTTAGACCATTTGACTCTTCTTTCCAGGAAGTTTCTTAAAGGAATGACATTGAATGTGTAGAAATAAATCTGGGCAGTAGTCTACTCCTGTTAGACTGATGGCAGCACTCCCATTGACTTCAACAGGATCATAATTTGGCCTACAGAAAGTTACCATATGAATTCTTTAACAAAGTGTTAAAATAATTTTTGTGACAGTGGACTTTGCCTAGTTTCAACTGGAGTAAAGCACTCTATCTAGCATTGTTTTGGCACTCTGTTAAGAATGTGTGTGTGTGGTTTTTTTTTAAGTATTTGAAAAGATGCATGAAATACAAAATACAGCTCTTGGAAAAATTATAATTACACAATTAGGGCTGCAAAGAGCATTTTTCAAAATATATTAAATTATGTTCTTTCAGTGAAGTTCAGAAATATTTTACTTTAGCATCATGGAAGAGTTAAAGCAGAATGTACGTAGTTTCTGTTCCTGTAAAACTTTTTGCAGGAATAGGACTGGCTCGCACGAGTGATCCTCTTTGACTCCTCTTACGATATTGTGCTAAAGAAATTTATAAAAGAGCCAACATCATAACTGCTGCAAAAAGGTTTGGAGGACCTTGTCTCACTATTTGCAGAGGGTGCCAGTAGCCAAGGTCTTTCTCTGCAGTGCAGTTGTGATAGTGCTGAATTCTTTCCTTAATGGTATAGTGGTTAATTCAAATTCTTAGTTTCTGGTGCTTATATTGTGCCTTATAACACATGGATATAATTTCAACTGCCTTTAGGATAAGTTTTATAAGTCTCTCTGATATTTGGCTTTGAAATACAAGATAAGTTTTCTTTATTGTTGCAATGCAATGCTGGCAACAACTTTCTTGGTTTTTGATGCCATTCTGATTACGCAGCCCTTGCTAGAGTCTTTCTTGATGTTTTTCCACTCATCATAATGTCATGCAATTATTTTCATTTCATATTTCTCCTCTTAAATCCTTGAAGCATCATAATCTGTCCATCATGTTAATCTGTTTTATTTGTTGAAGTCACTGTGTGTGAAGCCAGATTATATCTCTCAATGTGTTTGTGTGGTGAGAGTCTGTGTCAGCAAATTGTTTTTTTGGTTATCTCAGCAGTAAAGCTGGTAGGAACAATTGAAGGGACACAATCCATGTAAATACAGTGAATTAAAAAATATGGGGACGTGACTGAGTTTTTCATCTGACCCCTGATTTTTTCCGTGTGTTTTATCTTGAGGTTTTATGATGTTTAAGAGCGTTTGCCTTTTCCTTCTGTGATCAAATTTGGTCTAAATTCCAAATCGATCAATATCTGCCTACTTACTTTCACTGGCTTTGCATCAGTCTCTATTTACCTACTCAGGGTAAATAGTTATAGTGTACAAGATACTGATAAATTATCAAAATAAGCCCCCCAAAACTATAGAAAAGTATTTTCCTTTTAGATATTCAAATTGACTCAATGGCTCTTGAAAACTGCAGTAGACAGAGCAGTTCCAAACAGAAATGCCTTTAAGCTGAGGCTATCCTTCTAAGCCTGCTGATAATGTTTGTCAGTTGACCTTAGACTTGATTTATCAATAGCTTTTGCACCAGTATAGTGATCTTTGGTATAATTGCATGGTTCCTTACTGAACATAATTATATTAGAACCCTCCATTTGAAAGCAGTTGTATTGTTTTATAGTTTTTTCTCTTCAGTCCCTGAAAGAAAAGATTGGATGTAGTGATACTGTATCTGCTTAAATTGTATAGTTAAACAATTCAAAGTTTGAACATACACAAGTCCTTGGGGAGAGGTGATTGTATGATAGCTTTAAAGGCTGCTGAGCAACATCTCTGATCTGTGCTGTGTTGAGAGATATGAACTGGTTAATTCATTGCTGATCGTGTTTATTCATTGTTTTGCTTGTTTTCTTTTGTTGTTCCACCCAGCTCTAAGAATCCACAACTTCACTGTGCTTCCTTCCCATAACTCTACCTTTGTATATACCAATGACTCTGCCTACTCTAACTTCTCTGCAACTGTAGGTGAGGATTTGCATATTTTTTTGTTCCACGTTTGTCAAGCTTGGAAGGTTCTTATGCACTGGATTCAAAGTTAAAAACGGGCTTTTGGTTCAAGCGGTCGTGTGGTACAGTTTCTTTTATGCTTACGTTGATGTAAATCGAAAAGCACTCCTGCAGCATTACCTGAATTACTATGAATTTTTTGGGATAGGCATCCTGATGCTCAGCATTGCATGGAAGGATGGGCCCCAGAGGCCTTCCAAAGTCTCAGATATTTGTATTAAGGTTAAAAGAAACGGACATTTCAGAGGAATACGTACGAACAAAAAGACTGACCTTTTTCAAGGTTAAAAGGAAAAAACATTTCACCAGTGTATAGCCCTTTTTAAGGGACCCATTAGGAAAGACAAACATAACCAATTTTGCAAAGCCTGTAAGTAAGATCTCTCCAGTTATGACATCTTTGATTAACATATAGACACAAAAACAGACACAAGTCTTATAGAGGTGTGCTCTTCTAATGACTTTTTTAAAATGTCAACATGAGCCAGGAGATAAAAGGAAGAACAGAAAATGACAACTCCCCAGGCAGAAACATAGCAAATTGGAAAGTGGTTGCAACTGCACTAGCATAAACTCAAAGTAATTGAACTGAAGTCACTAGGACTGCTCTAGATTTATATTAGTGCAGCTGCAATTGAAATCTGACCTGTCGTCCACCTTACAATTAGGTATCAACTCGCATCTAGTCATTGGAAAGTCTGACTGAAGGAGAAGGATGAAAATGTTAGACCTGTCATTTGGGCTGCTCAAATGCTAGGTGGTTTATATTAGACTAAAACCACTATTTTTCTGCTTTAACTGTAAAAGCATGTTGGCAAACCTGAACTCTATTAATAATGAACTTCAAATGACCCTGATTCTTTTCAGTCCTCACTTCTCTGCTTTATAGGCCATTTGCATAGTTCTCACATAATAAGATACGTTCAATATGAGCATTAAAGAGAGCGACATCAATGGCAAAGGAAATGCTATGGAAACAGGAATGCATTACCTTAGAGGATTTATTCTGGCTCAATTAATTTAGAATTTAAGTGACTCAAAGAGAATTTAGAAATGTTTACTTCAGTCCATAATACTTATTCTCTCAAAGTTTTTAAAGAAGCTAAACTTTATTTGTCAATTAGAGATAGGTCTTGACTCCTTGCTCAAAGGGAAGGAAAGATGCATGAAAACTGCCCGATATTTACAGAGAGATTTGGGATGAAGCAAGAAAATATTTGGATGTAAATTCACTGAAGGCTACACCATGCTGTTCCTGTTTCCTTGAGTGGTTTACCCGACAGATGGGCTAGCACCATGACTTATGTCTGCTTTCTCTCCGCAGTCCTACTGGTTGTCTACAACTCAAAGATGAGATTCCCTTTCACATCGGATGCTATTGCATGAGGGCATGCACCACCTTGAGTCAGCAGCAATAATACTCCCTATTACTGTTCTAGATAGAGAGTCTGACCATAGCACTGCCTGTTTGTGCTATTGGTATGATTTGCGCTGCGTTCTCTTGTGCAAAGAGGCTTCTGTTAAGCTGGATGAATGCACAGAGATAGAGGAAAGTCCCTTATGTCACTACAGGCACATCTTAGACTATTAACAATAGCTACCTGATTTCCCCTATGACGACATTACGATTTCAAGTATCAAGCAGAACCTAGCAGGCAATTTCTTTTCTTCTGAGCAGGCAAAGACCATGTTCTCCTTGCTGGTGTTGCCTGTGGAAGAGCTCTTATCCTAACACTGTTTTTCAGAAGAAAGTATAGAGGAGGGTCATGAAACACATGGTCCTGAATCCTTGCAATCCTTGCAGAACCCCTGTCACAACAGTATTAACGCTGCGCCCAGGGTGAAATCCAAACTGGACAATTGCATTCTGTCTGCTCAGAAATGAAGTTAAATTGTGTATTCTGTAGCATACAGACTTTTTAACTCTAATTTTTTTGACTGTGATTTCTTATTGCCTTCACTGCTAAAGATTCCCCCCTGCCCCAGGGGTAGATGATTGAACTTCTCACTATGTTATTACTCAGCTGGAGTATTGACTTTCAGATCTCAGGGATATTTTCTACAGAGAATCAAGTGTCTTGTCCGTATGTGGTGTGGTGTGGGGGGTTGTATTGGTATGGCTCATGTGCCCAAGTTACTAGGAGACAAATGAACTGTTTCTAGGAGCGAACTCAATAGAAAATCGCAATCAGAAATCACAAGACAATTAGTCATTAAATATTAGACAAAGAAATAGCTTTTCCAATGATAATGCTGGCATACAAGTGGATGTCTAAAAATGATATTAGTGCCTCTTGAATACAGCTGATCAAATATATTTCACTGACACTTTTTTTTAATGAAAAGTGGCTTTGGTCATTTTTGAAAGGGAATGTGGAATCTTGTTGGGGGGGGAATAATCTATTCTGTTGTATATTTTTGATAGATTGACTTTCTTGACTATCTCTAATGTTTAACAATAAGACAAATACCTATGTAAAGTGTCCTGTATTCAGAAATCTGGAAAGTGTAAATTTTATTCGGACTATTTTGAAACAATGTTTTTTTGGCTGTATTATTTCAGCTAAACAGTTTATTTAGTGAAGCAAGAATCTGACTGAGGGATGCAATTACAATTTTTATGAACTTGAAATGTAAGAACTGCAATCTATATGGTTCCTTTTTAAAAAACAAACAAAAGACCCCCCCTTGTAGATGGTATCAGATGAACGTATAAGGTGTATGAGTGTTAAAATCATGTTTCCATGAAATTTTAATTCATATATACGTTAAAAACTATTTTACTTTTACTTCTTTAGATATTGTAGAAGGAATGGTGAACAAAGGAATTTATGTCACTGAAAAGAAAGGAGTTACCTTTCTGTTCTTTGGAAGCTACCAAAATTCTTGCATTAGTAACCCAGAAGTTTGTGGACCTGAAGGTCAGTCAACTCAATCATTTCTATTTGATCTTATTATGCTGTTTAGTTATGTCATTAAACATATCTCATCACTGGGAAATGAACTCTCTGCAATTCTAATGTTTGACGCTTCTCTTTATTGACTTAAGTCAATTAAGTGCTGATTGCTGAAAAACTAGTCTTTTCCAACTGCAATTTAAATTAGGATTAATAACCAGTTACTCAAATCATTGATCTATATAACTAGTATAAGCAAACAGAAACAAGCTTACAGTGCCCAATATCCTTCCTGTGACACAAACATTAGTTCCTATAAGAAACAGATAAGCTGTCTTATAGGTTTCAAATTTAGGAGACTAGGTTTTCCAGTCTGTTCTCTTAGCAGGAATGTTTTTTCAGACTTACTTTAGGAGGTAACAATTTTTACATTTCTGCTGTCTGAGAATTCGTTTATCCCATTAATTGTTTGAATCCTTCCCTCTTCCTCTTCCCTTTCTTCCTCTTGGGCAAAGGTCACAAAATAATAGGTGTAATAAGGGTGCCCAGGTTTGGCAATATGTTATCTTAGAGAAGATGATTAAAAGTCTGACTGAACAAAATGGTCACTAGCAGAAAACGGTCACTAGAGAAACTTAAAATTCATTAAAAGTAGAAGGATCTGTGGAAGCTGGTGGCTCTCTATACATAACCTCCAGTAGTCCCTGAATCTAAATAGCACTGTTAATACAGAATTTTCTTGCTTTTATTGATTTAGGCCATCTTTTAAACTGGTAACATTGCATGAAACAGGGTTTATTTTGAGCTGCTATAGTAAGAGCTGTGTATTAACATTTTAGGAAAGTAGAAAAAAACCTCATATAAGCAGATGGTATACAGGTACTGCCTGAGAGTATTAGAAAAGGTAATTGAGTATTCTACTGCAGGCATATTTTTTTTACACACATCTTTTAATATATTTTTTCCATACCACTGGGGAACAAAAATCTAAAATCCTAAGACAGTATAACATAATCAGAATAATTTACTTTTATAGTACTAGAGCTCTTCCAATACTTCACAAACAAGAACATTAAAACCATAAAACACTGAAATGTTCAGCAGATAAAATGTGAAAAGAAGAAATCATATAAACAATGAATACTTATTCACTATAGCAGTTTTTTTTTTAAGCCCCCCCTCCCTTACCCGTGCCAAAAAACCCACCCCTTTTTCTAAGGAAAAATGCTTCTTTTTCTCTGAATCAAATGAAACCTGTGGCAATGGTAAGCTGTAATTTTACCCAAGCCTGCAGTTGCTTAAACATATCTTGATGTTCACTGGTTGTATTTGGTGTTAAGTAGAGTTAAGCAAGGAATATCTTCTGCGGTTGTCTTGGGATCTTTCCGGATGATTACAACCTAAATCTTTAGGAAATAAAAATCCCAATAGTTTTTTTTTTTTCTAGCCTAAACTTAGTAAAGCTTCAGCACTGTTATTTGGACTTGAGAAAGTCTTTTTTTAAATGTTGAAATGTTCCTTCAGTCCCCCACCCCCACTTCTTTTGCAGGTAAGTTTTAAATAATGGCTTCTCTGAAAAGTTTTGGGCTAATTAAATTGGTATTTTTAGCCAAAGCAAATATTTGTGAAAGATGCAAGAGAAGAGCTGTTTTTTTAATCATTAGTTTGAACGTAGTAGAAATTAGATTTAGTCAATATATATGAAACAAAAAGACAGCAGCCCTATGCAGAACATAGAATTTCATAAAGCTATGTATTGGACCAGATTTGCTACAGTTAAAGTCATCTTCAGATTAGCCTTATGAAATGTTCTCCATCCGAATGCAGTGATTCTGTGTATTGGTAAACATTATTAGTAGTATTTTAACAGTGTATGCAGCCACTATTACACTATAGTATGGTGCCTCTCATTTGAAATGTAGTTATATTTAAACTATTCTTCAGAGATGGTACACTGGTAAATGAAAAATAATGAGACTTCTACAAGACCAAGGAAGTCTGTGTTGGAGCAGGTGACTGATATGAGCTTTGCAATTTCCAGAGGAAACTGGCTTTCCTGCCCTCCCTGTGTTTCCTTCCTGCTTGAGCCTTTCAGCATAATGAGAAGTTTCTTCAAGGTTCAATTTCTTACCACTTCATAAAATAAGTGAAGCATCCTAAGCCAGAGTTAAGATGGAAGAAATAAATAAACAATGATATATTTAGCTAAAAGCAGAACTTACCTGCCTTAGGTTTATGTGGGCATCTAGTGAGAAAAGATGTAATTTATGTTTGACCAAAAATATTTTTTGTATTCTATCAAGCTGTCTGGGGGGAAAAATTACTTTTTAAAATTCCAGTAGAATTATTGTATGGCTTACAATGAGCTTTATTTTTGCATTCTTCACTTATGAAGTGATGAAATCCATGTAAGGGGGAGGGAGGTCTATAATTTTTGCTGGAGGCTGTTACAGTAGCTACAGGATCATCCAATAGGACAGACACTAGTCAAAGATAGTGGAGACCAGTTCCACCACAGACTTGTTGTATAACTTAATCTTTATCTGCATCGCTTAAACTTCAACTGCCCATTTATAAACAGGAGACAACAGCATTCCGCTGCCTTACAGGAGTGTTGTGAAGATGCATGGAAGAAGATTGTGAAACACTTTGATAGAGGAACCTCTTTAACAGGCATAATAAAATACATGAACATAGTCAGCCTTGATGGCTCTTTTACCAGGACTGTGAAGGACAGCATGTAGGGACAAGGGAAATGCACGGCTTTCTGGAAAAAGAGTTGGATCAGTGTTTCAACCTGTTACTGGTATGCTAGAAAAGCCAAAGCAAGAACCCAGACTTGCCCGCAGATGAGGGTTTTGCAATGTATTTGCAACAGATCTCAAATTCTTGTGTTGGGAGTTCACTGCATTTATAACTTTCAACCCCTGTACATCAAGATCTGGCAAACTCAGGCCGTTCATAGACATTAATCAGTATATGAGGCTAATGATAATTAATTAGCATGTCCTTGGTGATTATTTTATCATATATACAGTATTTTGGGAATGGTGTATAGATAATATAAATTGGGCACTGTCATGTGGATAAACAAAGATCACTTAGATAGGAAGATACCTACATATCTGAATACTTATTCTTCAATAATATAAACTTTAACATTTCTGCTAAGTTAGTGTGACAAAATATGTGGAATAGTATAAAAAAACCATGTTCAGAGTAGCGGGGGGAAATATTTCTGACTAGTGAGCTGATATGTCTGAGGCATTGCCATCTTTAATCATAAAATTATGAAACATAATTCTTTGGTTTTAACAAGAAAAGTACATAATAGTTTGAGGGCCTCATTAACTTGAGCTGGGCTAGCTGGCAGCAAATTGGCAAAGTTTATACTGCCTGGGCAGCCTGCGAACGCTACTGACTATAAAATCATCCAGACAGATATTGTGACTACATGTCAAAAGAGCATGGTCAACAGGTTAAGGGAAGTGATTATTCCCGTCCATTGAGCACTCAACAGACTGTATCTGAAGTACCAAGTCTACCTCTTGCTCCCCTTGCTTCTCTGTACAAAAGAGATGCTGACTAACTGGAGTGAGTCCAGGAGAGGCCTACTGAGCTAAGAAGGGGGCTGGATGACATGACATAGGAGAGGAGGCTGAAGCTTTTCTCTTTATCGTGAAGAGAATGCTAAGGGCTCTCTTCAACTACTAGATGGGTGGTTATAGAGGAAAATGGAGCTGAACTATCTTGGAGGTACACAGTAGAAGTGTGAGAAGCAACAGAGACAAGTGGTAATAAGGGGAATTCTGTATAGATCTAAGAAAAATCTTTATGAGGAAGGTGGCTAAACGTTGGGACAGTTTGCGCAGACAGCTTGTGAAATCTTCATCCTTGATGATGTTAAACTTGGCTGAACCCTGTGCAGCCTGACATAACTCTGAATTTGCCCCTGCTTTGAGCAGGAGGTTAAATTAGATGATCTGCAGGGGTCCTTTCCAGCTTAATTCTATGATTTTATGAGGTAAAACCTCTTCCACTTCTGTACTCTGTTGTAAGCATTTTCTCAACCTGCACCGAACTTGGGTTTTATTCTTAGCACTTTGTGTTATAAATTCTGAGATGAACATTTTTAGGAGCAGTTTAGTTCTAACTGCTTTCTTTGTAATTGCATTTGACTGCAGAGTCTCTTTACAGCAGAGGCAGTGTGAACTTGTGAAGTGGGAGGAACATTTGATTTGAAACTTACATTTCAGTTGAGCATTTTGAGGTAACCTTTATTGAAGAAATAAGCAATCTTTAGAGAAATCATATTTGTTCACTCTTGTGTGATATGAAGATCTCTTCAGGTTTACTGAAAAATAGCAAAACTTACAGTGAATTTAACAGGATTACTTGTGAACAAAGTAATCGTGTGTGCAAGGATTGCATTCACGCTTTGGAAGGGATATTTTGATTTTTATCAGAATTTTGACTGTGGCTCTGTATGTGATATCCCTTTCTTTTACATTGGTTCTTTGCTTTCCGCAATTAGCGGATTACTGAAATTTGAAAACACAGGTGATAACATGCTTATAAGAATTAAAGTATAATTAGCAATGGATGCTACTTGGTAAGCATAGGCATGTTGGCAGCCAGGCAGCATATCAATAGCCTGGAAGCAGTCAATGTGCTGCTTCTTGCTCTGCTGGCGTTGGGTGAATGTTGAAGAAAGGTGTAGATGCTGGGGGAGGAAATGAAGACGTGAAGGCAGCTTGTGTTTTGACGAAGATCACAGGAGGAAAGGGGATCACAGGAAGATGAGATTTTTGCAGTGGTAATGAAAATAGATGAAGAACTAAAGGGAATGGAAGGATAAATCTTAGGAGGGAAGACTTCATTATTTTTGGTGCTCAGAAACTTTAGTTTCAACTGAGAGAAGCTACTCAGGAAGCAGTGGGCATTACTATGTGCTGGGTATGTGACAGTGTGATGCAAAAACCAAGGAATAGATGTTAATTCGGTTTAAACTGTTAAAGCATTGTTGATTCCAAAAACGCTGTCCTTGTTTATGCTAGCGGATGATCTGTCCTTTCCACTCTGTGTTCTACAGTATTGGAAGCTTTTAATTCTTCTTTTTTTGTTGTTGTTGTTCATTTAAAATCCCATCACTTGCTTCCATCAGGAGTAACGTTTTCCTTTTTCTGGAAGACTCAAGATCAGCAGGCTAAGTTTCCCCCTGCCTCTGGTGGACAAGTAATTTCCAGTGGTTTCAAAATCTGCTCAAACGAAGGTGAGGGCTCAGTGGAATTTTACACCCGTGGAAATGCAATGATGAAATGGAAAGCAAGCTTTAGTCCACCAGGTAAAGATCACCTTTTCTTCATTCATTTCTTTGTTATGCTTTGCTTTATTCTTTCAGAGAGATATAATGTTAAGAATACAACTCCAGGAAAGAGAAGTAGGCTTGGGACAGGAGAGGGGAGAAGAAAAAGATACAGCTCAGCCTCAGAGCTCTCTTGATGTGGGGAGAGAGAAAGGGTGAATTGATGCCATTCAGTAAATATTCTTGGACCTGTACTCCAAGAGTTCCTAAAGTCTCTTGACATCAATAGATTAATGGGTGCTTACATGGAAACAATGGAGTGAGGAATGCATGTTAATCCCTAACAGTTCTCAGTATATTCTAAAACTGTATATGTGTGATGCTATAGTGCCTCCCAAATTGAGATTTCATTTGATGACTATCTTACTATATGTTCAGTGGTTTGGCCATTTAGTTATCTGTTAAGTATCAAGTTTTGTATGCCTTGCATGGTATTAATGAACACTTTTTTAACAGAAAATACCTTCCTGCTTCTATCTTTGATGTAAACTGTGTATTGTTGGGAAAAGGCATTACCTGATGACTGGAACGAATTCTTGGATCCTGATAATGCCACTGGCAGTCACTAAATTTTTTTTTAAATTTAACTACTTTTAGACTGGGAAAATACTACTTTCTTCACCGTAACAGAGCTATACAGCTTAATAAGCCAGTTTAGAAATGACATTTTAAGATGAGCTGTTAAAAGGGAAGAGTAACTTGTGTATCTGTGAATTATTCTAGCCACGTAAAAATGAATGTTATGTTTTGGGCCTCTGAAGTATAATAAAAACAGACAACTTCTAGCTTATCTATTTGCCTGTTGTCCAGTTCTTGCAGTCTTTATGCAGTTGTTGCTGAATGGAGAGTTTTTGAGTCAGTTTTGGAGAGACTTCAAATCTAATTTATGCAACTTCAGTGATCCCAAATAAGAGTTCAGGCAAAAGCTAACAGGCATTCTGCTGAAGTATGGACTTCCCCATGTGTATAAAGATTAACATACATGACACCAGTGTTCCATAACTGTTAGCACTTCCTATGTAGCTCTATAGCATTGCAAAAGTTAGTAAAAACTTAGCGACTAGGAAAGACTCTAAATGGAATTGACTCATGGATTTTGCTGTGACTATCAATATTTTGCAGGTCCTTATTGGACACACATTCTCTTCACTTGGAAATCAAGAGAAGGGCTGAAGGTCTATGTCAATGGAACTCTAAATACAACTGATCCAGATGGGAAAGTTTTCTATGATTATGGAGACCCCAGTGCAAATCTGCTGACTGGGACAGAAGGGGATCAAACTAAGCGCTATGTGAATGGGGCATTTGATGAGTTCATTATATGGGAACGGGCACTCACCCCCAATGAAATTGAGCAGTACTTTACAGCTGCTATTGGTGAGTGTATGTACTGTTGTTGTCATAAGTCTTCTGTAAAGGTGCTGACTTTAAGTCTGGGTTTTTTTTGCTGCTGTTTTACAACTTTCAGCTATTGAATATACTTTTTTGGAGGCTGACAAAAATGCAAGTATAAATGCCAGTGAAACTTTCAACTGTCTCTGTGTGCTTTTCATCTCATTTTCCTTTTAAAATGTCAACAAAGGTTACCAAAACCGGAAGTATGTAGCCATTGTTAGACCCCATAGGATCAAGAGAAGAGAAGCAGTAATTAGACTTGGGGTAGAATAGAACACTGATTGCAGATTTTTAAATTGCACTCTAGTTGCTGTGTAACTTAAAGCCAGCTCAGCTTCTTAGTGCGTTCTTAGTGTGATCCCAGAAGATACGGATGATAATGCTTATCTTCCCAGTTCCTGGAAGGATGAAGACTTAACTCATGTATGCTTGTGAACTATAACAACGGTATTAGCTGAAATAGAATGCGTAAGAGTGAAACAATTGAGATTTCAACAAAGATGTCAGACTTGCAAGACAATGGCCAGTAAACTCCATCAGCCGTTCTATGGATCATTATTATAAACCTTTTACTATCAGAAAGGCTTGTTGATATAAAGTGCTCGTGTGTAAGTAGCAATTAGAAAACATCCAGTTCTGAACTAAAGCTATGGGGCATCTTAACCACTTGACTTCGTGAGCAATTTTGCTGCTTTCATATATTTTTACTAGACTGTTGAGATCTAAAGCAGTTAAACCTGTCACTCTTGTCCTTTAAAACCAATGGAAACCACTTTCACATCAAGCTCTTTGAAAAACACAGCACTTCTGATGAAACCCTCAAAATGAGAATGCATGCATTTGACTTCCAGGTTTGATTGCAGCAATCCAGTTTATTTAGGATTGAACCCACTGAAAAAACCTCCAGCTCGTATATAATGGAGCAATCTATTTGCTTTGCAATGCAAATCAATTACTTTCAAAAATTTTGCATTTTAAAAAGTGATTCTTATGTCTTCAGGCAGTCTGCTTTGGAGAGTATTCATTTAAAACCAGAAATAGTATATATTTTCTGTTCTCTGCTTAAATCTTAATTAAATTTTATTAACTTTATAACATTCAAGTCATGTTGGAAAAATTGCTGTTGTACCTGGCTGTTGTATCTTTCACAACAAACTAGGGTTACTATAACCTATCCAACCCAGAGCCACCATAAATCACGTTCCTGGATTTAATGCAACAGCAGAAGAATGCTATGTTGCTAAACTCAAGAGGCGTGGATTTTCAAATTGACCTGACCCATTTATATATGTGCCCTGTTTCACTGTCAGAGGTATGACTTATATAAATACAAAGAGAACTACTCTTTTTAACCCCTTAAATTCTTGTGAATGCGCAGCCATCCTTGGAAGTATTCCACTCTTCTAGCCTCCTATCTTCATTCTAACAAATAAAGCATCATGGAAAGCTTTTTCTATGAATGCAAATCCTGTTCTGAGGTTAAATTTGTAATTATTCCCTGTATTCATGTGGTTTGGAAACCATGGAACAAGTTTGTGTCCACATTATTATGCATTAGGACATTGCAGTCTTACGGGAGGTTATGGCGGTCAGAGTGTTTGATTGCTGAATGTTAATGCTTGCAGCTGAGGCTTTCAAAGACTTCAGAAAGAACTGGGTACTCAGATTCTGCTGAAGTCTAAATTTAAAGAGTTAGACAGAATTTTGTCTGCATCTTCTCTCTCCATTCCTGTTGTGTTTTTTTTGAAGTAGTATAGCAAGTTCTCCAAGTGATTTATGTTTTGAGATGGTCCTATTGTGCTGTGCGACTTTGCGAGTTTGCTGTAATTTGCATGACATGAAATGCTTTTTTTTCCTCATCTTCTCTCAAAGCCGTAGTTCATAGGTCTTCAGGGTTATCTGAAGCAGGGTTATCAATTTTCAGTGGAAAATCTAAAATTTCTAGTCTCTTAATTAAAAGGTTGATGTGTGTTTTCTGGGGGCTTAAGATTAGAATGGAAACAAACTCTAGGTATAATTTCTGTAAATGTTATGAACTTTAAGCAAATATTTTAAGTGCTCAAGTGATTCTCAGCACCTGAGAAATGTGGAGTATTGACTTTTGCTTTTTTACTCGGTGACATGGACTGATCAGTGTGTGTGTGTGTTTTTGTTTTTGCTTTTTTTTTTAATTTCCATCTTGATAGATGCAATTGGGACATTCTCAGGAAGCAAGGAATGTTACAATAGTAATCAACATAGTAAACGAAAGTCGGCCTTGGCATCTATTTATTGACCTTGGAGACTTAAAACCAGGGGCGAAGCTGGGCTACTGTGGTCTGACATAAGAAAATTAATAGGACAGCTTGTGTTTTTTAATAGAAGGAATGATCATGTTCTTTTTGGATGTATGAAAAAAATGTGACCAGTCTATGCCACTACTGTTTGATTTTGCCCAGGAGTGTGATATTTCGGCACATAAATTCTTGGGAAGACATAGATTAGAAGAAAATTTTATTTCGCTATCACAAATGACCCATAAATCTCCTTGCACAGAGAGGAATCAATATGTTTAAAATTGAACAGCTGGAAACCATCCAAAATCGAGTTTATTCTTTTTTGTCTTGACAAATCACTTATGACATGCTCATATGGTAATTTTCAATGGATATAGTTCTGGTGGGTGACGTTTATTAGTAAAGCTAGATAAATGGCAACCTGACTGTTGCTTGAAATCAACTCAGATACTTAGTAGAGACATTATCTACAATATGCTCATACTCCTAGTGGAGGCTGTATTTTGCCTGCTTGACCCCTGGTACTTTTTCAATGCAAAACTAACATGCCCCATAGGCTTTAATATGCCCCTGTATCTATAGATGTTTGTATCCTGTTTGAGGGTGGTGCCTTGTTTTCATTGCAAGCAACAGAAGGATTTTCATTGGCTTTGAGTATTTCTTAAAGATTTTTGCTGAAAGTCACCTTCTGATTTAACCTTCATGTATGTGACCTTTTTTTAGCACTCAAGCAATTTAGACTCAAGACATAATTATTTAGACAACACTAGCGTCTGGAAACTATAGCTGAGCCCTGAGTCTCATTTTTATCCAGTGTCTGTATGTCCACAGTCCCTGTTCTAAAGAGTGTATAATCTAAACAGAGAGCCTAGGACAGGTGACTGAAGTACCAGAAGGTCATGAGTGAGATTTTCAGAAGTGCCTATAGACTCTTTATTCTTCATAAGGCATAGGGAATTTTGAAAACTTTGCCCTAAATAGCCTACCAAAGTGTCTGTGACAGAGCTAGAGAAGGAAGTTTGATGTCAATGTTTTAATCATGCAGTTGTCTTTTTTTAATAGAGGGATTTTCCATGAATTGCAAATAACACTGAAATTCCTGATTGCAAAGAAAGTTTTAACTAAGCGTTTAAGATTTGTATTAGGTTGCAAAATTCAATTGTAGAAAGGTGGGAGGGGGGAATAAATTGAGAAGAACAGCAGAAGAAATTGTTTAAACAAGCCTCCAGTACTGGAAATAAGTAAAATGCAAACAGCAAGTATGATGGCTTCTAGTTAGAACTGATCCAACCTGAGGTGGGAATACAGTTTTAGTAAACTCTTTCTTGTTCGTATGTATGTATTAAAGCAGCCTTTATTTTCCCCAGGTGTACAAGTTGTGCTTTCTTCAACACTTCCATGGCCTATGATGACAACCACTACAAGGCCTGTGGTATGACGGTCCTCATAACTCTTTATTGTAACATTAGAATGTGTGTATGTTACAAAGGGTTACAGATCCTCCACAATTTAGTTTTTGTTAATGGCATTTGTTTTAGTACCCCAATTATAAAGGTTTTCAGATGTGCATAAGGAGAATTTTCAGTTACTAAGTGAAGATGGGCAAACTACAGAATCCTTAATAAAAGAATAGGATTGCACTAGGACAGATGCAGGGAATTCACTGTTAAAGACAAATCTATTTTCTATATACAAAAATGAAAAACTAAAATTTCTGAAATATTTCAGTGTCTCCTGTAGATATAGGAGGATATTCAAAAATGTTAATATTTTTGCTTATTTTGATAGCCAGTTTTTCTAATTTCCAAAGAATAGAACTAGTTTTCATCCGTTTAGAAAATGTTGAAAGAGTTAAAATTAAATAAAAATGTGTAGTCTAGGTACAATTAGTCAGCCTATGTGCAAATAGCTGTTGCAGCTTATTTTCACTTGCCTGATATCTGTAGTGTCAAAATTCTGTTAGTTATCTCGTTCAGAGACTTTCAGGAAACCATGGCAGATATGACCTGAAGTGCTAATGAAAAAAGCCATGTGTGTCTCTGATTCAGATAACTCTTATCTATCTGTTCTTCATCTGCTTTCCTTTTTCCCTTGGTTTACCTAGTTTCTTCTGTGTAATCCCAGTGGTCATACTAGGCTGTGTTCTATCCAACGAGGAGAAAAAAGACGGGGTCAGAAACCTGCTTTTTTTAGCTTTAGGGCTGGAGAAACACATAAGACAAGTCTTGAAGTTACATTGCTTGACAATGCTGTAGTGATTCTCAGAGAATGACAGACTGTCTCTGAACTCCCTTGAGGCTAAAAACATAAATAATAACTGCCTATTCCAAAAAGTTCTGATGAGTTCTCTCCCCTGCAGCTGTCTACAAATGCCTATCATCCCATCATAACTAATCTGACTGAGGAAAGAAGAAACTTCCACTTCCCAGATACTATGCTGAACTACCTAGAAAACATATCATTCAGCTTGCCCGACAAATCCTTGTCAGAAAATACTGCTCTACACCTGACTGAGGTAAAATTTTCAGATCTGTGGGTGAAGCCAGGTGAACTTGCTCCAGAAGCTGAAACATAGAATGCAGCTTTGACAATTTTTGCTGATTGCAAAATATACATATGAAAAAAGCTAGAGCTATTTTAATAAGTGTCAGAACATGAGCTTCAACTAGAGAAAATGACTTAAAGGTCTGGGACATTATTTAATACTTAAATTCTAAACCTTTGGAACCATGACTACAGATTAAAAATAACTATGTAGTTAAGCAGGCAACAGAGAAGGAAAAATAATTTCTTGTGGAATTATTTACAACTGCATGTGAATCCAGTGAATGCATTCCTGGAAAAGTTTTAGCATGTCTTTGTGTGGCCCAGGTGATCTAAAGTGAGGCTGAGTTTGACAGTCCTCTGTTAGACATAGGACTTGAAGACAATTGTAATCATGGCAGTGACAGCGGCAAAATGGAGGCATATTACAAACTAGTTAACTTGGATACATGAAGCAGTCTAGTCGTGGCTGTATTGGACCTAAGCCTAGCCTAACTGCCCATCCATATGCTTATTATCTAATGTCTTTGAGTTCCACACTCTTGCAATAGACGGCTACTGATACACAAGCAAATTATTTTAAATCTCACAGTGGAGGGTTAAAATGTTATCAATTACTGCTGTCTACCCAACCTTTTGTTAGTGTTTATTGCTCCTGTAGTGAACAGGGTAAGTTGTGCCTGTCCAACAGTTTCTCTTTTGCAAAGTCATGCACTATTCTTGCTGGACTCTGAAATGGCTGAGGCATAGGAACATACCCTGCTCTGCCAGCTCTGCGTTGGAGGTGGTAACCTGTGGGAGAGGGACTGTTTGTGACATTAGTGTCTTTAGCTTTTGTGAATTAATGCCCTTATCTTATGCTATGCTGCAATCACAGCAGGGACTCCTGTGGTAGACGTATTGCAAGTCTCCACTAAAATTCATTTACTGCGAGATCAGGTCCAAAGCCTAGCTGAGTAATTCATTCTTGTTTAAGTTAAACTGCAAAGAAAAAATGAAGAAAAAAGCTTTCTGCTGTTTGAACTGGGGACAAGGGGTTACTTTCTGCTAATATAAAGTTAGCTTCCTGTAAAATGATGGGCAGCTAATTCCCCGATTTCAGCAGGCTAAAAAGCTATTATTACAGTAATCAGCTCCGGCTTCACCAGTGATTGTTTCTCTAAGCATGTGGGTAATACAAGGGTGACAAGGGTTATTTACTCAGACAAACAATATAAATAAATTATCTTGCAAAATAGATGGGCAGCAATTGCTAGTTTGTGTTAAAGGCTTAGCATTTGCAAACTCTAAAGCTTGGATTTTATGGATCAGTTTAATATGGAGCAAAAACTCTTCTAAAAAGCTTTAATATGTTGTTTTCTTTACTTCACTAAAAATTGTGTGTGGGATCTCATCTGAAAATGGAATGTCATCCTGTCAGTTATCATACCTGTTTCCCACATCATTGCAATTGCCATTTTGTTGCTCATTCATGCTATCTGATGCTGCTTTGTGTGGCACGAAAGTGATGTGCAGACAGAAACACATGGCATGATTATCTTTAGCAAAGCTATTTTAGGAAATAAACACAAGAGAGTCCTGATCATGCATACAGACTCTGTCATTTGTCTGATTGATAGTTTAGCTTTGTATTGTCTGCAGCTAATTCCCTGAAAGGCGGGAACTGAGTGTGCATGCTCTTTTCTCCAGTTATCTCTGTCCTGGTTGTCATCTGCCTCACAGCACAAAAAAAAAGTTTTAAGTGCTGTACAACAAGCTTCCTGGTTACTGACATGTATTTATAATGAATTGCTGCTGACAAATCTTGTTTACATTTTTTGTTGTAATTCTGTTCTGCTCAGTAGGTCTAGTCCTCCTGCTTTCCCTCCCTTCCTAGTGGTGTACCGTATCCTCTTTGGGGTAATTCTGGACGCATCCTGTGGCGTGGAAAGAGATCCTTCCTAAAAACTCTGGACAATTCAGGATGGGTCCCAGGTTTAGGATAACTTTCATGCATACCGGCTAGAATTCCACACTGAAAGGGGCAAAGATCCTGTAGCCGCTAAGGGTAAAGATCACATAACAAAGCTTCAGTGCTGCCCCACGTGTTACGGCTTGCAAAAGTGTCCTCAGAAAACAACGTTGCTGCTTTCTTCTACGTTTCTCAGTAGGACTTTCCTGTAACCATGTTGATGCTTTTAAGACATTTTAGCAGAGAGGAGTTGAAGCAGGAGACACAGATTTCACTTTTAAAACCCAAGTCCTTATTTTGGCCTATCATACGCTGTTGGTGAGGGATGTTTAAGTACCTTGCCTCAAGCTGGGGATATTCTTATTGTTTAGGTGGGGAATGGAGTGACCTGGCTTTTGACCCTAGTTTTCTCATAGTCTGCTGTGTGATCTGGGTGCCAGTCACTTTCTGTGCTCCAGTTTCCCCTCCTCCTATTTGTCTTCATCAGTAAGACTTCTTAGGACAAGGACTGTACTGTGCTGAGTGCTTGAACAGTGCTCACCGTGATGGATCCTGACCTCAAAAACAACCTTGAAGTGCAAAAGTTAAGCAGATAATCAAATTGAACAGGTAATGGGGACTAGAAATATACCCAGTGCTGCTGAAATACCTCTTTACTTAATAAGGCTAGGTATTAGTGTTACATGAGTTTCCATAGCTTCACTTTCTTTGTGTTCCAGTGTTGTCACCTTAGCTGTAGTGTAACCGTTGCATTTTGGGAGTCTCACAGGGGTGTTACTTTTATTACACAAACTATTACTTTAAAATGTCACCATACAAAATGTGATGAGAGAGCTGGCAGGTAGGGGATGAATCTGTGACTTGCATGAAAATGAGTCTGTCATTTTAAAATAAATCTAAGGAAATCCTAGCAGAGATCTGCTTTACGTGCTTACCTGGCGATATAGCTGATGAATAAGTAATCAAATAATACAGTTTTATTTATCTTCTAGGCCTTTTTAAAAGCTGTTGAAGACTTTCATTTATTGCCTGCCTGGACTGATAAATCAAAGGTAAGACAAATAGCTTAGATTTGTAAGTTAATTCAGGTGCGTATTTTCTTATAGATAGTAATGAAACTGGTTGCCTCTAGTCTTCATGACAGAACTTCTTGACGGTATGACTTGTTTGTTTTCTCACAGGTCACTTTCATATTTTAATTAAAAATCCATAGATAAAAAATCATTTTATTTTAAGGCTCAAAAACACTAAAAAGAAGGGAACTTCTATGATTTATGACTTCTACTCCAAATTTGGCTTTTTATGAATTTGAGAAATACTAGATATTTTAAAACTTTTGTTGTGGAGATTTACTTTTTTCAGTACACATGAAATATATAGCAGCGCTTACCTAGTTTAGAGGACTTAAACTTTGTGAGAGGGAGAGTAACTTTTATCACTTTTCCCTTCTAGTCTCCTGCCAACGCTTTTGGAGTGCAGAGAAATACTAACAGGAGGAATTCAAGAATTTCCTGAGCTCTTTTGAAGTTTGAATCTTAAGGGAGCAAAGTTTTCAGAATAGAGAGCTCTTATAATGAGAGAAGGGGACAGGCTAAATTAAGCTCTTACTGAATCCTAAAAGGCTTTGAAGAAAGACAAATATCTGATGGATTTAAGTTCTTAGCCTAAAATCTGTGATCATTTCTCATGCAAATGAATATTCAAATAGATTTCTTTTCCATTAAACCATGCATTCACTGAGATTTTTATGCATCAAGTTTCATCCTAGAGGGTTGTTTTCCAGTAGACACACAAACATTTTGAATATAGCTTTATGCTGGGGAGCACTGACTTAATAAAGACAAAACAAATGTCAAACTATAATGTGTATAAACTTATATTCTGATGAAGATCAGGTACCAGTTTGGCATCAGGGTGGTTTTTGATTTTTGTGTGTGGTGTTTCTCCCTCCCCCACCCCAGTCGTTATATATTGCCAAAATAATTTGTAATTCACTATATGTGGAGAAGGTTGTAGAGAAACATATTTGACTGGACAGTCAAATGATGAATCAAATAGGAATTTAGCACGGCACCTTGTCATTTTGTGCTATGAACTGCAGTTTCTTTTGTTATAGAGCCTTCTTTTTTCCCCACCCCCTCCCCAGACTGCTCCCATATTTGGAGGTTTAATTGAAACTATTGACTGTGTGATGGTGCACGTGGCACGCCATCTAGGAGAAAACTCGTTACCTGTAACCATTGAGGGCACATCACCTGTGGCAGGTAGGATTTAGCAGAAATGTTCTCTCCCCCTCTGGACTGGAATATGCCTGGGTGTCATAAATACCGGCGTGCTTGTGGCCCCCCTCTGCCAACATGGAGGAAGAAATCAAAATAAATTGTTTTCTCTTTTAAATACAAAATGTTGTATCAGTTGCAGAAAGATGGTTATGCAGGTAGTACAGAGGTACTCAGCTCTGACAGCACAATCAGCTTCCTTGAGGTTGTTGGGGAGGGGTTTAGAATATGAATTTTATGAAATTAGTCCAATAGTATATAAGCAATTAAAGTACTGCCTAGAGCTCTTATGTGGTGCTTTGAAGTTGCAAATGTGTGGATACTACAAAACTTAATCTGGGGACAGGAGCTTGCAAATGATAGGACAAGTTTAGATCTTTTAGGAAGATTTTTCTTACTCCTGTTTAGCATGCCAACACCCTAATTTCATCTGCGTCTTTGGATGCTACAGGTAGTAAAGGTAACTGGTCTGCTCTGGCGTTCTGTTCTGCCTCATTGAGATCTACGTAATTGGGCAAATAACCTGAGCAGTCATCAGTTCCATTAATCACCCCACAAAGTCTCACTAAGCTGCCTTAGACCCTGGCATTCTCAAACGGAGCGCTAAAGGTCTAAAATAATGCCTTCAAATGTCAGCAGAAAGGAGAGAGAGTGGTATCAATCTGTTTTGCTTACCTTGGTGCCTTGTTAAGCTCAGTATCTGAGCACATGGTGAAGTGATCCATGGTATGTTAACACTCTACATGCCACTTTCTCCCTCGTAAAGTTGGATATAAAGGCAGCTTTATACTTGTGGAATTTAATCAATTTTCTGCAAACGGCTGGGGCTTTAAAGTCAAAACTTGCAATAACTATTAGAAGAGTTAAATAGTCATATAGTCAAGTAAATTCTAATGGTTATTTTACTTTTTTTTTTTTGGGGGGGGGGTTTGTTATCTCACAGATTACTCCTTGGCCAAAATGTATCCTCAGAGTCTGAATTTGTCCCACTATCGCTTTCCATCTCAAGGCCAGAGTTATATTTCTATCCCCAGTGAAGCTTTTCACAAAACAGGTAAGGAAAAATTTAATGAGGGGCAGAATCAAGTAAATAGGGTATCCAGAAATCATTCTGCTTTTGGTTTGCCTTATTTTTCATAGTAACTGACTTGTTTCTGTTTTAAAGCCAACGTGACTGACGGTGATCAATTTCCCTGTCGTACTAATGAATGATTAATGCAATATTCTTCCAATATGCAATATTCTTGCAATAATGTAAGTAATGTTTGAGATTCCTTGAAGAATACTTCAAATCACTTAAGTTAAACTGGAATAATGCAGCTTGGCCACACAGGCTGTAAACACTTCATTTGGACATCCTTTCACATCAGGGAAACCATAATTTCATAATTTATTTTTAGTTGTCTGAACTGGCTATTTTTGAGAAATTCCAGGGTATCAGATCAGGTATCAGTTTTCCATCATGCAAAACATGTTGTAAAGTTTTATGGAATTAAACCATAAAATAAAAGATTTAAGTAACAGCAGCTACAGAAACAGAATAAAGAAGTAAACTACAGTCAAAGGAGAAAGGCAGAGCTCAGATGCTAAAAGTTTAGTAGTCCCAAAATTGGATGGTATTGCAAAAATCTGAAGCTTTAGTTAAGATTTAAAAATTACAATGTGTTTGAAGTTAATTATCTGTGTTGTAATTAAGGATCGAAGGGAGCATATTTACAAAAGCATCTACCTGCATCTGTATAACTTACCTGGAGGCCTTTCTCCTAGTCACCTCTGGAGGAAGGTTGTTCTCTTTCCATAAAGTTACCTGCAGATAGCCTGCAGTGGGAAATACTCCAATACTTACTAAAGGATCTACCTGATTTGTGATGACAGCCTTGTTTCTTTGCACTGGCAGGGGGCTTTGGCTAGAAATGTCATTGTGAGTGCTCTGAGGCTTGAATAACTATAACTAATGCCAAAAATAACATGTGAGAGGTCTTCTTCCCTTCCCACTTAGTCTTGTCATCATGCGCAGGGTGTGTTGTGGTGTGTATGTGGTTTTTTTTATTGTTATTTTTTTGGTAATACAGAACTTTTATCATGCTTGGTATCTTCAAATGATCCAGCCTGTTGGGTATTTAACTCTTCGAGGTAGTTAGAAACCAGCTAAAGCTTACTTTACTGAGCAAGTTTAACCTTCAACCACATTTTAACACTGTATAGGTGTACTAACTTAAAAATTTATTATTTCACCTTAAATAGTTGGCATTATAAGTAGTGAGAACCCAGAAAAAGGGATAATAAAGGGCATCTTTGTGGCTGACACTTAGAAAATATGCATCCGTCTCTTTACCCGGATGCTGGAGAACCCATAAACACTTGAAATGCATACAGCAAGCAGACAACAAACAAACTGGTTGCCCATGTTTGGGTTTTGTAAACTGGCAGTGAATGTTGCTGGTATTCAATTAGCCTTGATTACTGTAGCTGCCCTTCAAACAGATTCCTGTATGTCATGCAGCTGTTTCTAGTGACATGGTTCTCATGGAGGCTTTCTAATTGACAACAGATTGCTTTAAGAACTGACTCATTTTGAAAGTATAGTTGCACAGGGCAGGTGTCTTTCTATTTTACATTTGATGTTTCCTGTTTTGTCCTGCAGGCTGTTCATACCTTTGCATTTATTTAATAGAGTAATTGGAATTCTACTGAAGTAAAGATATGAGCGTTTACAGAAGTCAAGGCTCTTAATTAACAGGGAGTTTCAAGTCTAGGAGATAAATGTCTCTTGGAACTGCTGCTCTAAGGAATAACCTCTGTTGCCTTTTTTGCAGCTTGGATAACCATTGTTGGCCTGCTTTACCATAACATGCACTGTTTCTTTCATAATATCAACCCTATGGATACCAAGTAAGTATCTTGGAATTCTCACACTGTTACAGTTTATTACCTTAGTGATATACCTTTATAACAGTCATGTCTTTATGAACTGTAAATAAATTATGAGCCGTAATCCTGATTCTGCAATGCTAAGGACATTTAGTCGTTAACTAGAGAGAGATTAAGCCTTATATTAGATGTTTTATTTTATGCTGCAGTAAAATAGATTCCCATAGCAACATGTTTGTCTTTCCTTGTCTCCTATTTCCATTCATCAGATCGGATATTAGAATTTCATAATTTTAATCTTTGTCTCTTAAGACACAAATTATATCTTTTCGCCTGATGCTTACAATGTTTGCACTTAAATGAAACAAGAAAACATAACATCCCTCCTAAGAAAAGCTCTGAATGCTGATCCTATTAGCGTGTGAGATAATTTTACAACAATAAACCATGCAATACTTCAATGCCCTTTTTTTTATATGCTGTACCAATGAAATCATTAGCAGATAAGATAAAGTAAACTAAGAGCTGCATACCTCTCAGCAAGATAGTTTCCCCAGGGAATTTTGCAAGGCCATTCATGTAAATCATTACACTTTCCTTTTAAGCTAGTATTAATTTATCTTTTTATTTGATCTCTACTAAGGGACATAGATTAGGTTACACTGGTTCTCAGTCTTATCCAGTCTGTGGCTTTGTCATGTTGTGTGTGACACCAGAAAAAAGGATACAGCATCTTCGTTCCCATGTATTTTAGGGATTGCCTTCCATGTAGCTGTATGTAGAGAAAGGAAGGCCACGATAACACTGGAATATATTTATGAGCTCCAGGTTAAAGATTCCTGGTTTATGACTGGCCTGATCACACTGAGTTAATGATACAACTATTACTAAATAGCATTTTTAATTCAAGTAGAATGTTGTACTGTTTTGTACTCTGCTGTCTCAAAAAAGAGCTGTTAGCAGGTGCATGTGAAATAACCATATCATTAGCATGCAGTATTTCCTACTGATATGAAGAAATAGAGGCAATAATTTATGACAGCTTATGTTTTTCAAGCAGAAAGATCAGTGCAATTTATTAAGATAAAAACTGTAATTTTAATTTCCTACAGAGAAAAAGAGAATCGGTAGGGTCTTGACTTAAGTCAAAATTTAGCAAGCAGAAACGCATCTCGGAACACTGTATTCTAATGTATTGTCTTACAGTCTACAACTTTTGGGGCTCTGATGTAGTGAACACACACAGTTATGTCATTTCTGTGCACACTAGCCTTAATCACATGTATTGAATTTTGTGGAGGATCTGGAGACTAATTCCTCTTCTGTGAAACTATATGGATTTTTAGCCTTTGTATCTGAGAATGAAGGAACTGGCCCTGTTGCATAGTTAAAGAAAACAAGCACGTGAACACTGGAGTAAAAATGGCTCACAGATTTCTCTCCAGATAATCCAAACTATTTGAACTGTTTGCAGTATATATAGCATTACAGAATCATGTCTATAAAATTCCAGATGCAGATCTGTCCAAAATTTGTTCTAATAACGCTAGTTTGGTGCTTTTCCTTTGTTGAATCAAGCCCTAGGTGTCTGAAAAATGTTTTAAAAATAAGTATGCAATTCTTTCTTGCTTGGTTTTCTTTTGTTTATTTTACTATTATCTTTTTTATTTGTTTCACTAGAATAACAATGTTTTCCAAGAGTAGTTTGCTTTAAAGACCTTTTGGGCTCCTAGCTTTGGGCCACCTGAACACCTGTAATTCGAAGCCTGCTGTTTTCTTCTTGAGGGCAGATTTTAATTCTCTTATGGTTTTAAAAAAAAAAAAAGTTTAAACTCCTCAAACTTTCATGCTGTAGCACCAGATGACTTTTCTATTTCTGGACTCTGTAACCATCAGCCTCTAAGAGGGAGTCAGGGTGTGTGTGTGTTTGTTTTTGTTTTGTTTTTTTAATCAAAACTTAAAAGGCTTTGAGCCCCAATCCTCTCTTAGTCATGTGTTTGTATAAATTTGTAATAATCTCACTGAAGGTAAGTGGATGACAGGCCTACTGCCCTCTGACATCCAGGTGCATTGCTGAGCGTGCCACAGTCAGGAAAGGCGGGCGTTTGCAAGCACGGATCGTTAGAAACAGTTTCTTGCTCATGCTGAAGTTTTTTACGTTTATCCAAATTCATCTAGCTTTCTTAATGCAAAGCTAAAATAGATGAATGAGGAAAAAATGTACCACTTCCATGGTCTTTGGAGGAGGAATCTCAAAATGCTGGATACTGACATTAACGTTATAAGTCTTTCTCTACTTTTTGTATGAAAGTGGTAAATTCTGCCCTCAGGTGAACAAATTCAATTTACATTTTGGTTACTAGGAGCAGAAGTAATTTCTGATACTGATGATTTTAATGGTCAGAACTGGAAATAGAAAAGGACTGGAGAAACGGAAAGGACTGGTGTTTGGGGTTGTGCAAAATGAGTTCTGTTTTATTTGACCTTGCTTAGCAGTTGAATAAAGTTATTTTAATGTCTGACATGACATTTTTCTTTGTCAATGAAAGAAAAACAAGAAACCATTGTAACAGGTTGCAGATGTAAATAAGATTTTTAATGTGCTTTATAAATTGGCTCTTTCCAATAGTGTGCTATGTTTAGAAACCCACAATGATAGATAATTCACCATGGCTTGTATTTGTAATTGTAAATACCATTCAGTCACATACTTGATTAAGAGACAGACAACCGAAAACATTTTACTCATGCAGTTTGTTACGGATAGTGTAAAAAAATTTTACTCTACAACCAAAGGCATAATTTTTATCTAAAAACAGAAATAAAAGGGTTCTTTATTATGTACTGCAAAACTAATTTAGCCTAGGAAAAAATACTACCTGGACCAATCAAAGATGTTTAGTCAGATTTTCCTCCGTTTGTATCATGACCTGAGTTTAGCCAACTTTTCTGGACGTACTCACTTTTCCAGAGTAAAGCTATAAATTACTTCTAAATATATACAAATATGCACATGCATGTGTGTTGCACACTGATATGCTTAAATAGATAGCTTGAATAAGTTGGCAAATTTTCTGCTCACTAAAAGGCTACTTTGCCTAATTAGATTTATTTTTATACCACTTTATAAAATTCTATTTATGACCTAAAGCACTTTCAAAAAGGCTTATAAACAAGAGGAGCAGAATGTAGGGATACTGATGATCTCAAGTCTCCTAACCTCTGAAACTGTTCCCTATAATTTTTATCTGTGGCTTCCAGTCCTGTAATAGGATCTTTTGGGGCCAGATCTTGTTCCCCTACAGAAATGTGTTGACTTGAATGGAAAGAGGTGCTGGTGTTCCGGTGGGTATATGAGTGAGTTCTTGGATGCAGCTCTAAGAATAAGCTTTGTCTTTTGCTGCTTGCTACAGCTCTTTGCTTTAGACAGTGCGTTAAGAAACGGGAGCTATAAGTTACATCCTTGAAATTACTGCAACAGATATATCAGACAGGATCAACAGTTTCTTCAGGTAAAGTCGAAAGAGGCCGATATTGGCATGAACTGAAGAATGCTCTTTTACTACTTCCTTAATGTATTGTTTCTTTCTTTCCAAGGATTGCTGAAGCTGCTGCCTACAAAGGCTATATGATCTCAGCAACCAGTTACCTTATCTCCCTGAAAGTGGAACCTGCACCTACCTTGTCCCACAATCTTTCAGGATCTCCTCTTATTACCATCCAGCTCACCCATAAACTGGTAAGTAAAACAGAAATTTTCAGCTTAGGCTATTATCAGGCTGTTCAAAACTTCAGTCTCTATGATGGCTTCTTTGCATTTCTCTTGTGAATTTTGTGGGTATTTTTAGTAGCAATTCAGGTGGCGTTTGTGACAGCAAGATTACATTTTTCCAACAGTTGCATTTCAAGGACTTCTGTTTCTATCACAGCAAAAGGCTGATTAATGCATGTGTTGAAAAAAGGTAAAGAGACAACTATAGCTTTTAGGCCCTTCTGAATGTGTATTGTTCTATGGATGTGTTTGTGCAATTTACAGAAGGTTTGGTATGAATCGCTGCTTCCTCATTAGAGCTGGCAAGGAGACAAGGATTCATTTATGTAAACACTTCCGAGGTTTTTGCTTTTTATCTTACTCCACATTGGGATAGAACCGAGGTGTTTTAAATCTCTTTGTGAATAAACCCAGAGAAGTAATTCCTCCAAGGGCAGCCAGAAGTATGATGGGTAGAGCAACCTCCTGGGATGGGAATAGAACAGGTTCAAATCCATGTTCTACTATGAGCTTCTCTTTTTAAAGAGAGGAGTAGCATTCCATTCTGAATGTGAGAAACATGGAACAAAGTTTTATTTAACCAGATCAATTTCTGTTATACATTTCAGTTTTACCAAATCAGCATAGTCCAGCCAGAAGCTGAAAAATATCTGTTTCTAGTTGCTCTCAGGGAA